TGCGGCGTATGCGGAACTTGGCCCTTGCCGCAATTGACACAGCGGGATTTGTCAAGCACAGTCTTCACTCATGTGCCCGAGGGACGTACATTTGCCACACGCCGCGCGGTTCCGATAGTTGAGTTTTGTGTGACCAAATCGCTGCCACTGATAGCACCGCATGGGGTTGGGCACAAACTGACGAACTTTCACGCGGGCGTATCCCACGCGCACCTCGGATGGTAAGTCAGGGCGACTGAACGTAAGTATGAGGCTGTTAGTGGGCACCAACTCTCCTCCCCTTCTGACAAGGATCCGCCGAGCGGCGGTCACTCCAAACTGCGGCAGCTCCTCCACGATCTCCTCCTCGTCCACGTCACACAGATCAAAACAGTTGACCACGCCCCCGGACGAATTTTTAGTGTTGTGTGGTGTCGCTGACATTGGCACTGTTTTTCCCGCTTACCAGCCCCATCTCGAACACTGTACAAAAGTTGTGTTGCTTCCATGGCTCGGCTCGCCTCCAAGCCACTAGCGAATTTAACTTCTATTTTTCCTCCCGGAGCTTGTCACATCCTGATATTTTTTTACAAATCTGTCGCAGCCATTTTGTCTCTGAAACGGTGAAAGGGATGCCAACCTAATGTCATCACTTTGGAAGACGAGGATCCTTGGTCCGGGAGTTGCAGAGTCTCCTCTGCACCCTTGGGTTATCGTGGTCCGACCCCCTTTCGGGGGACGGGTGTTTTTAGTTATAGGATGCCATGCAAAGTCAGTTTTCTTTCGGCACCGAGGCTCCCCACCCACCTCGGAGCCCAACTGAGGGACGGCCCAACACTCCCTCGGGAGGAAATCGCCGCCAGGGCTACCCCGGCGCTATACGGGGCGAACGACGCCTCCCACACGGCCAGGTGTAACCGGGAAGACCCCTCCCCGTCCTGGCCGTGTTTCAGCGCCACCGCCCCTTGACCTCTTAAGCCGCTGCGCACGGCCAGGCGCCACAAGCGGAGACCCGCACGGAACACCTAGCCGCAGCGCGAGCGACAAGCCGCTAGACCCGTGTGGGGCCCCACGGGCCCCGCGCCACCGGATATCTTGGCTGAAGTGGAACGTTGGGACGCACCGCGACTGACCCGCACGACGCGCCCCTCAGCCACCAGGATCCGGTGAACTCGGGGACGTGGGCGAGGGGGCACGGCGACCCCGATAAAACGAGGATTAGGAGTGATGAGTGGGCCGGATGCGGGAAAACGGATAATGGGAGGGGAGCGGGAGGGACAAGGAGCGGGAGCTCACGTACCGGCAGGGTCGCTACGCCCTGAGAGAAACAGATTGCGCTGTCCACCCGTTACCGGAGCTGGGACCCTAGGGGCGCAAGTCCCCCACACCGGCCGAAGCCGGCGCCCCTGAGGGCGGAGCTGGGACACGAGGGGCCGCTAGTCCCCTACACCGGCCGAAACCGGTGCCGCTGCGGGGCAAGGCGCTCTTTTGAGAAGTTAATTATTAGTGAGCACGATTACGTTCTCTAGACTACGAAGTGCCCGCAGTGGCCGCCGTTCGTGCTGGGATGACAGGTGGGCGCTGTCGTGTGGCTTGAGCAGCTGAGTGCGGCGCAGAGTCCCCATGATAGGATCAGCCCGGGAGACAAAGAGCGGGTCAGGTGCTGTCAATCATTTCCTCACCCACAGATGATCTAAACAAGTTTATTTATAAATTTCACAAATGTGGTTATTCCGCCGAAGTGGCTCTGTTACCTCGCTGATTAGCATGTGAAGACGTATTCAGAACATGATGCATTACACACCGGAAAACTTATAACATTAGGCTTGATGCGTGCAGCTCTCAAATATTGCTCTATTTCTCGGACACATGCCTTTGCGGAAACTGAGAAAACAATGAGCCTGAGTTAGTCGGTCTCCACTGACCTCAACTGGGTGACCATTCAGTTCACTGGGTGGCAGACTTCGCCCCTGCATTACCTGACAAAAATTGCAACAATTATTAGTGTGACCGGGCCTTTCCGCCAAATAACGCCAAATATGCCAAAACACGTAGTGAGTGGTTTTCAGTCAATGGGGGTAACGAGTTCAGTAGTGCACATTTTCTTGCCGCCATGTATATCGTCGTCATTGGGGCTTTACGACAAACTCAGCTGCTGAGGCTGTATGGTGTCGCCTGCATCTTACCCTAGCAGGAAGGGCGGGCACTGTGGGGAATCGAACCCCGTTCCTTTGGTTCCCCAGGCGGGCAGTGATTAACACAGACGGCAGCCATGTATATGATAACGTCAAAACGAAAGGATGACATTGCGGTTTTCCAAGCCGTAGAGTACTACACTTGTTCCCATGGGCAATTAGGAGTAAGAGAAGCGGCCGGTTTACTGCATACATATTGACTAATATTGCGCAAGCGTAGCATCAGACATGATAAAAGGTCACCACCATATTGCATTGATCGCCATGCCTTTCATTGTGAAGGCACGTTGCACGCACATCGGTCTGAACTGATATTAGCCTGTACCTCGGGCGCCCAGACCACACGAGTTCAAGTACCAGTGCACTTGGCGCCGACTCGATTTACTATGCGTTGCCATAAATTATAGGGCGCTGAAAGGTGACATTTACTTGAGACGAAAGGTCGCACAGGTCTATACCGAATATCGATCGCCCATATCATGACCTTTGGAGGTCACAAATGCTAATGATTTGGTTACCTTGTTATCTTATCTCTGTGTCGCAAGCTTCTCTCGGGACCCGCCCGCAGCTAAGGAGGCCGAGTTGTTCTGAATGGTCAGACAGGGGCAGTTGCAACAGGCGCGGCAGGGGCGGTTGGTAACAGGGGCATCAGTGTCA